CCCCATCGCCTATTTAAGAGCGTGCTCGAGTGCACGCGCACGGATAAGCTGTATGTTAATGCAGACAAGTGCATATTCGGCACCAGGAAAATCCCTTTTTAGGGTGCATTATCTGGAACCGTGGTCTTCGATCGGATCCCGCTAAGGTCAAGTAATTGTGTACTGGCCGGCGCCAAATAACCAAAAGGACTTGCTCAAGTGACTAAGCCTCGCCATCTGCCTGCTCAAGTATGGCGCAAATTATGCAGAAATAGCACGGCCACTATCGAATCTCCTCAAGTAGGATACCGATTGGTGTTGGGACACCGAGCATCGGGAGTATTTGTCAAAGACAGCCTCCTTCATGCACCAATACTGCCGTTGTCAGACCTTGATCGTCCTTGAGTGTCACCTGTGCTTCTCTGGACTTTGCCATCGGCTGTGCACTACTGCAAGCAGACGCCGAGGGGCGAGATCGGGGATCGCGTTCGAATCTCGCCAGCCTAAGGCTGCGAAGAGGAACTATTCAGTCCACGACAAGGAATTACTTGCGATGCAGTATGCACTTGTCAAGTTCAGGGTGCACTGCTTGGCTCAATGCCGTTTGTAATCTACACAGATCATGCGTCAGTACGCACTGCGACTCAATCTCCTTATTTATCCCAGAAATTGGCCAAGTGGGTATCCTTCGTCGCAAAATATAACTTTGAGGCGAAATATAAGCCAGGAGTGCAGACCAAATTATTTGTCTGCTCATGTCTCGGCGGTGACGTCGTCAGTGACGGAGCTGATCCGCACCGCATACGCGGGTGATGGTGTGTGTGTAGCCCTGCTACAGGCTGCTAAAAGCAATTATAGCACCGATTCGACAGAATCGCCACGAATCGTGGTTCCTCGTGATGACAATACCTATCCTCTATGAGGCCCACGACACCCCACTCCTTTGTCATCTCAGTCGTGAGAAGAGATACAGTTCGGTGAGATGCCACTATTGGTAGCCCAATCTGTACAAATGGACAAGCACATATGTGCGCATGTGTGAGAGTTGTCAGAGTGAAATTCCATCCGAATGCAGCGGCGCCGGTGGCCAGGTACCCTCCGGGTGTTGGCAGTCCGTGAACATGGGCATTGTGTTTGGACTGCCGAATGACTCGGCGGGCAGCACGGGTGTGGTGATCTTTGTAGCCCGTTTAAGCAATATGGCTTATCTTGCGACAGTGCCGGATACCTACAGCGATGCTTTTTGTGGATCGTATCTTTCGACAACATGGACTCCCGAAGTAAATTATCTATGATTGAGACCCACGCCTCATTGGAAATTCTTGGCCTATAATTCTCAGAGTGCTGGGTACCAAGCTGACAATGTCAACAACGGACCATCCGTAGACCGATGGACAAACTGAGCGCGTGAATTTCGTCGTTGAAGACATTCTTGGCAGCGTCTGTGCTGAGACACTGAAGCGCTGGAGCGCCATGCTTCCACTTGTGAATTTATTCTGAACAATGTGTAGTGCAATTGTCTATCGGCTACACGCCGTTCTACGTAACGGGCTGGTTATGTATTGCGTCCCGCTGAGACCGCCATCCCATGGCTCAAAGTTTGGTGGGGGAGAAATAGCCAAACGGCTAGCTGATGTTAGCCCCCTCACTATCCGCAAGGAATTCGATGACTTCCTATCTGCCAGACTGAATGTACTAAGACACGTTCGCGATGCGATGGCTGAAAGCCACGACATGCAGAAAGAACATGCAGACGAAAGAATCACAAGAAATGCTGAAACCTTTGAGGTCGAAGACCTCGCCATATTCAATGCAAAAACTCCCCCCACACATGCAGTCTCT